TAGCTTATAACTAGTGATAAATTTTTTAAAATTTAGAGGGAGAGCGTCAGGCAGAGGGAGAAGCAGGCTTCCCGCGGAGCAGGGAGCCCGATGCAGAGCTCGATCCCAGGACCCTGGGATCTTGACCTAAGCTGAAGGCAGACACCTAAGGACTGAGCCACCCAGGCGCCCCTTTAGTGTGGTTCTTAATCCTGGCTACACATCACAAGCACCAGGGAAATTTAAAAAGCAAACAGATTTGTAAGCCTTATCTCCAAAGACTGGGGCCTGGGCTTGGTATTTTTTAAATGATCCACAGTACCTCACACCCATTAGAATGCCTGTTGTTAAACAACAGAAAATAAAAAGTGTTGTGAGGATGTGGTGAAACTGGAACGCTGTAGACTGTTGGTGGGAATGTAAAGTGTTGGAGGTGCTGTGGAAAACAGTACAGGATTCCTGAAAAAAAAAAAAAAAGATTACCATATGATCCATCAGTTCTCAATGCTGCACTTCTGGGGTGTATCCTTAATAATTGTAGGTAGGGTGTTGAAGAGATATTTATACATCCATGTTTATAGCAGTATTCACAGTAGCCAAGAGGTGGAAGTTAACCAAGGGTCCATTGATGAATGGATGGATACACAAAATATCATATATACATATAATGCAATATTGAACCTTATAAAATGAAGGAAATTCTGACATATGCTACAATATAGATTAATCTTGAGGACATTATGCTGAGATAAACCAGTCACAAAAAGACAAATACTGTATGATCCTACTTATACCCAGAGTAGTTAAATTCATAGAAACGAGGTAGAGTGGTGGTTGCCAGGAGCTGGAGAGAGGCAGGAATGAGGAGTTATATAATAGGCATAGAGTTTCAGTTTTGCAAGATGAAGAAGTTCCAGAGCTTAGTTGCTCAAAAATGAGTAATATGTACTAAATAGTAGCATTTTAATATGTGTCTTATTTCTAATAGATTTTAAAGTAAATCACTTTAGGGGTGCCTGGCTGGCTCAGTCGGTAAAGCATGTGACTCTTAATCTCAGGGTCATGAATTCAAGCCCCACATTGTGGGTGGAGCCTCCTTAAGTAAATAAATAAATCATTTTATTTAAATTAGCCAGAAAAGTCCTCTATTTTGATTTTCTTCTTTCATTGAATTAATTTTAGAGTAACTACATACCACGGTTATGTTTAACATTTCCTATTATTTCTTTTTTACCAGAAACTTATAGACTTTAACAACTCAATTTGTATTTTAGAAAAGCAGAGGAAATACTGTGAAAGTTTGAAATACCTTAAATCATCCAAAACTAAGGCATACATAATGAAACAACTCTTAGTACTTATACAGAAAGAGGTTTGTATTTGTTTACAGATGTATTAATCATTTGGCTTTTTTGTTGTCTTAATCATGATGTGATGTAAAATATAATATTACACTTTTTAGTTCCTATAGAAACCATTTTAAATGTGCTTTGAAGATAACTCAGTTTTATTTTTGTATTTTAAGGACATGTACTTATAGGCAACATTATAATATCAGGATTTGACCCCGTTGACAATGTCTCTGTCAAGTCGACAAACAGCTATTGTTAACCCTCCACCACCAGAATATATAAATACTAAGAAGAATGGGCGATTGACAAATCAACTGCAGTATCTACAAAAAGTTGTCCTGAAGGCTTTATGGAAGCATAGTTTTTCCTGGCCTTTTCAACAGCCTGTGGATGCTGTGAAACTAAAGTTGCCAGTAAGTATATCTCTCAAAGAAATAGACTAGCCTTTAATATTATGAAATATACTTAATTTAATAAAGACCTCTAATTTATTCTGTACCACTGAAGAGTTTTCCAATGAGTATTTTTCCTAAACAACAAAGTTCATTTTTCTGAGCATTGAAATTCTTATTTTAACAGTTTGGTACATTATAGTACATGTTTTTTTGTTATAGAATGTGTTACCTGACTTTTTTTTTTTTTTAAAAGATTTATTTACTTTAGAGAGAGAGAATGTGTGTGTGTGAGTGAGCAGGGGAAGGGGCAGAGGGAGAGAATCTCCAGCAGGCTCTGTCCTGAGCCTGGAGTCTGATGTGGGGTTCCATCCCATGAAGATCAAGATCCCAAGATCATGACCTGAACCAAAACCAAGAGTCAGATGCCCAACCAACTGAGCCACCCAGGCGCCCTTCACTTGACCTTTTGGTGCAAGGTTGTCATGAATGTCACCTTCTTCATGAAGTTGATCTTGACACTTCTTGGTAGCCATAGATGCATCATATACAGAATTCAACTTTAGGTCTTCTCTTAGGTATTTTCAGCCATCTGACAACATAATGGTTAAGTAATTTGTTTCATAGTTAGCAAACCATGATGCTGGGATTATACTCTGTATCTGTCAGACTCCATAAATTTTAGGTTTTTCTTCTTCATGCCCTTCACTTTTTATTTTCCAGGATAGTTCTACCCTTACATTCTTGTTTTTGTTATTCTTTGTTATTTTTTCTCTGAAAAAAATGCCATGGCAGTCAGCTTTGTTTCTCAGTACAAAAGTTTCAGTTTCCAAATTATGGCTTTTTAAAGGTAATCTAGTTAAAGTGTATAGCTTCTTAAATTTTTTTGTGTACCAATAGTTGCAGTGAATTTGTTCTTACTACTAATGTTTAGAATTTCTTCTTAAAAACTGTAGGATTATTACACCATTATAAAGACCCCAATGGATTTAAATACAATTAAGAAGCGCTTAGAACATAAGTATTATGTGAAGGCTTCAGAATGTATAGCAGACTTCAACATAATGTTCTCAAATTGTTATTTATACAACAAGGTATGTAAGTCTTATGTTATACTTGATAATTCTTTGCTCTTATAGAAGATGTGTATAAAAAGTGTGCTGATTTCAGATTTCAAGTCTTGATTTGGGGGGATTTTACATATTTTTAAGGATAATGTTTATTTTTTACTGGATTTCATAATTTTTATGTATCTATTTATTTAATCTATTTGCCATAATTTTGCCTGAATAGCTGTAATGGTTTCTTATGTTTTAAAAAGTGAAATACCAATGATAGTTGGTTTCTGTAAGTATTAATGTTCTCTACCATACTTCTGCCATTTTAATTATAAATGTTAAACTTTATTATATACTGATCTTGGTTAAATGTTCATGGCATGAATTCAGACAAATTACATACATCTAAACTTCATGACCAGTTAACTTAAAGATGAGACACATTCTCTGTTATATTCCAATAGTAGTATTTGTATTTTCATTAATGCACTGGCTTGTCTGATAATATATGTGGACATTTGACCTTAATCTTTACTTTTGCTTTCATCCTATAAAGATGGATTTGTGTATATTAATTTTTTCTCCATATAGTATTCCTCTTTCCCAGAGTATTGCATTCTTTTTAAGCTGTTCTGTATCTAAAAATTTTAAAACTTATATCCCATTTATTCAGAATCACTGGTGATGCTGATATGTAATAGAAATTTTGGTTCTCAAACTATCAGTGTCATCTTAAATTTAAGACTCTTAGCCAATATGATTTTTTTTTAAATGAGAACTAATGGCATTCTGAAAGTACCATTGGCAACTTCATTTTAATTTAACAATTCCAAGTGTACTTTAACATTTAACATTTTAAAATGAAGTTCAGTAATTTTCCTAACATACCTAACTTCAAAGTAAGTGTTCTCTGCTTTAGCCTTTTGCTTTGTAATCTACTTAGTTTTTTATCAGTAGTGAATAAAGCAAGCCAAAGACTTCTACGCAGATAGTTAAGATTTAAAAACTGGAAGAAAAAAAAAAGGTTTAAAAACTGAGTTAGCTCTGCAGTGTCATTATATCACTTAGTTAATTGAAAACTACATCACATCAAGTCAAATCATGTCCTTCCCACAGCCATGAACATGTTTTAACTTATTAGTGAGGTAGAAATTTTAATTTCTAAAACCTTTTTGTATTAGTAGGACTGGTTGGATTGTAACCCTTTAGTACTCAGAAGGGCTACCTGGGTTATTTTTAGAAGTTAAAAGGGTAGAATGTTAGAATTTAAAATATGAGCTGATACGCCATTTTCTGTACTTAATTTAGAAGCAATAAATACTGTTTAATAATATCTAAGAGTACTGTGTCACTGCCTTCTCTAAGGTAGCCTGAATTGTTGAAATTTGGTACAGTGACCATATTGCATAACCTTGTGTTTATATATTTTCTAGCCTGGAGATGACATTGTTCTTATGGCACAAGCTCTAGAGAAGTTGTTTAGGCAGAGATTATCTCACATGCCGCAAGAAGAACAAATTGTGGGTGGTAAAGAAAGAATAAAGAAAGGTAAGACAGAAAAGGTTTATGTTTTCTTACTTTCTCTATCTTGTGAATTATATATGAATGTGTGTATGTGTGTGTGTATAAATATAATGACTAGAACTAAATAATAAATCCCTCAAAGGAGGTAGACATTCAGAGTCCTTCTATATCCAGGCGCCTGTGTGGCACAGTCAGTTAAGTGTCTGACTTGGTTTTGGGTCAGGTCGTGATCTCAGGGTTGTGGGATCGAGCCCTGCACCAGGCTCTGCATGGAGTCTGCTTGGGAATGTCTCTCCCTCTTCCTCTGCCCCACATACACGTGCGCTCTCTTTCTCTCTCAAAATAAATGAATCTTTTTTTTTTTTAAAGTCCTTCTAAATCCTATTGTATTGGTATAAAATGTCCATTTCAACAGTAAGGCAAATTTTGAAAGCAAAGATGGCTATCGTGCAAGATTAGGGAGAATTGTATTGATTATAGCCTTGGAACCTGAGATTTCCTATAGTATAGTGCCATTCACATAGTAGGCATCCAGTAAAGTTATTAGTATTTTTAGTGGATCTTGTATCTGTGCTATAATAATAAGATGGCCAAAATTGGCAATGTTCCTTGTACCAAAAGATCCCATAGCTAAGAATGAAATGTTACTGTTCGGTCTGAAGATTCTCCTTTTTTCTAACTCTTTCTTAATTAAAAAAAAAAAAAAAAAAAGAAAAACCTTCGAGGGAAACATTTTACAGCTAATAATTAGAATATTTAAATATGAAGTTAAAAAACTATCTTAAGTATTCAGATGGATTTATTGTAGAGGTTAACCAAGGTTGTCATAGATGAAATGTTGGTTTATTTTTGGATCACTGATGTTGTACATTTTAGATAAGCTTAATCATTCCATGTTAGTTTCCTCATGTATAATGTCAGGAAAATATTTCACTTTCGTGGTTGAAATATTTATAAAGCATACAGTTAAGTGGCTGGGGTATAGGAGACTTACACTACTACAAAGGTGGTTTTTATTGTACTATTTTTCCTTGTTAGTAGATCTTTAAGATGGGTCATGACTTAAAGCTTTACTCAATCCTGTGAGGTACACACACTCTTTTTTATTAAAGTTCTTATTTTATTCTCACCTTTGGAAAAGGTTGATCTTAAGCCTGACAATATAAGGCCTAAGGTTCTGAAAGAGGATTAAAATAAGCCCTTACATTAAATGTGTAGATTGCTACATATTTAATGCAATCCCTATCAAAATACCATCAACTTTTTTCAAAGAAATGGAACAAATAATCCTAAAATTTGTATGGAATCAGAAAAGACCCCGAATAGC